GTAGCCAGAACATATTTCCATTCTCCACCTTCTCCATTTTCCCGGATGAACCGGCGATATCCTCAGAGTCTATCTCGGTACCCGCCTGTCGCATTCACTTACATCTAAAAGAGGAATATAGAGAAAAGGAAATAGGGAGGATATTAAGTTAATCTTAAAAAATCATTTACGATCTAAAATAGTTGATTATTATTTATCAAGAGCATAATGTACAATATCTTTCAAGGCGCACGCCAATAACTCGCAGTCGACAAGAGACTCGCTGTCGAAATCGTCACTTTTGCGTATTACTTTAGCGGCGTAAGACCAGTCAGTAGTTTTTGATTCGTACCATTTACGAATAATATCATTTTGTTGCAAAATGCATACAAATTTTTGGAACTTTGCATTAACAATATGTGTATTTTTATATAACCATGAGTACATATGATCAATACACTGCTCAAGATTGAATAAGTTATTCAATGTTTCCGGTTTTAAATACAATGACTTGTTGAACAATGTAAGCTGTATAATGGTATCCCCATGCATCATGCGACATTCCACCGACAAATCTTGAATCCATAATGGCGAGGAATAAGATGACTCCACATATCGCTCAATGTGTGCACGTCTGTGTATAATCTCCTTCCAGATTTCATTCGGTAATATCAAATGATTGCCTCGATTATCGCCAAGAACAAGTTCCACGTAGGATGCAGGTCCTACACTGATTCCAATTTCTAAGTATTTATATTTTGTAGTTGTTAGCATGTATCTCCTCCCTAAGATACGAGCAGGAATACGTGGTTTTTCAGTAGAAACGCTGTAAAGAAAAATTTAAGAGAAGTTTTTGTTAAATATTAAAATCTCAGAAAGAGAGAGATTATATTGCATATAAATTGGGAATAATACTAACTTTTCACACTTTATTTTCTTGCATTGTGAATGCACTGTTTCACACTTTATTTTCTTGCCTGTTCAATAGGCAAGTAATAATTTGCACGTTTGGTCTTAACTTCCG